AACAACAACAACAACAGGTAGACAAAGCGTGATTTTTAAAGGAAAAAAAAAAAAAAAGGGAATGTGAATTATCCTTCATCTGTTGTCCAACGCAACCCCTTTGCAGAATCACTGCCTTCCACCTACTTCTGTTCTGGATGTTCTAGTTTATCTCACACAGACACCTGAATAGGTTGACGCTTGGGGCTGTTAAACCTTACACCAGGTGAGCACTGCACTGCCCTCTGCTGGACCCAGTAGAGACTGCTCTGTTTTGTGGTTGCTGGTTGGGTCATAGAATAAGTACCATAGTACTATGAATGTGTAGGGTGGTGTTGAAGAGTACTGCATTTGTGTGGGGGGGAGGGAGGTTGTGATAAAAAATGCCCTTTTCCTTCTGCTTCAGAAAAGTTCTGAGGCAATGTCACTTTGTTTCTTCTAAATTATGACAAGTTTAAAGAAATAGCTTTTTGTTTTTACTTGGGAGTATTCCGTTTTTTCTGGAATCAGAGATTCTGAAGGTCAGGTTGAGTGGAAGTGCTAGGCAGTTACTAAAAATCCCTAGAAAGGCTTTGTTAAGTGTTAGACCTTTTGTAAGCAGTTGTTTCTTTCCATACAAGTTCTATATTAAAGGCTCCCTAGGCTTTTGTAGGACCATCTTAAAACTTTTTATTCATAGCCAATTATGTCAACACACCAGGTACACATTCTGAGCTCTTTGGCAGAAGACTGTTACCTAAGTAGCCATCAAACAAGATTTAAACATCAGGCATATTTAAATCTAGCTGGTGACAGAGGTCTAAGTTCAAGGTGACATCTTATATATACAAAAAAATTAATGAATTTTTCTATTTTTGCCTGGTGGGAAAAATCCAACTTGGGAAGTGCACTGGTAGGAAAATACCCAAGCAGCAGATGGACAAGGATGTGCTCACTTACTCCATCCACCCAAGGAGAAGAGCAAGAAAGGGCTGGTACAAGCTCTGGTGCATCTCTAGAGCTGACCAGGAAATTGATGACACCTGCCTGATGATAATCACCAATGCTGGCAGCCTAGAGAAATTAGTACAGAACTTGCCAGGTGCCTACCTGGAGGGGGACCTGTCCTACATTGATGTATTTCTGACCATGTACAGAACCTTTGCCACTACCCAGGAGGTGCTGGACTTCCTGTTAGTAAGTTATAGATGCAACAGCTCGGAGTCAGCCGGAGACTCTGGATCCCAGGATAATCTAAAAGCACCTTCATCTTGGACACCTGGCTCAACATCTACAGGGATGATTTTATTGAGTCTCCAGAGTACAGAATTCTTCAGATACTGATAGAGTTCCTCAAAGTCAACATGCCCAGGTCAGAGCTGGAGCACTATGTCATCATGCTCATATCACAGCTGGATGACCTGGAGGACACTGAGACCAAGCCAAAGGCTCCAGAGCCAGCACCAACACTGGGGCTCCAGGTAGCCCATGTTCATCCATCTCCTGCTTTGGTCCAGGCACCAGATGTCAAATCACTTGTCCTATGTCCTCCAGGGCACCTAATGACCTACAGCCCTCTGAGACTGTGCATCAGTAGCCCAGGGTATCTTTTGAAGTTTAGCCAAGGGCAGCACCTGATTTACATCCCAAGGCAGCTATTCACCTACAGCCCTGGCCAGCTCCCTATGTGCTGCCCTGGGCAGGTCCTCATATGCAGCTGTCAGCAGCTCCCCACCAGAGCCCACCAATGCTCATATACAACAGGGAGAATCAACTGAAGACTCAGTCCATTTCCCTTCACCTGAGGAGGTCAATGTCTGGTATTTCTTCATTATTTTACTGGCTAATTTTGTCCTTTATACATTATATTATCTTCTTCTTGTTGTTGTTGTGTGCCGTGGAATGGGTATAATTTAGAATAGAATCAAGTTTTGTTTCTATGTTTAAAAAAAAAAAAAAGCACTGAACTTCTAACCACAGAGTTGGTGGTTCATGTCCACCAGCTGCTCCTCAGAGACCCTGTACAGGGTTGCCATGAGTCAGAACCAACTCAATGGCACTAAGCAACGGCACCCCAAATGTGAGTTTGAGTACTTGCCTTAAATTCCAGATATATCACAATTCATTAATTTATTGGTTCCTCATTTTCACAGATGAATATAATATAGATGAACCTTGAAAATATATGAAATAAGTCAAGCACAAAAGGACTATTGTATGAACTTATTATTATGAATACCTAGAATAGCAAATATATGGAGATGAGCATTTAATAATAGTTGCCAAGGTTGGGACAAGGGGGAATAGAATGGACTGATGGTTTAAGAAGCATTAAATGTTTGTTTACAGTGATGGAAATTTTGGCAAAATATAATGCTGATGGTAGCCCAACGTGACTATGTAAATTATATCACTCAAGTGTACGTGATAAATGTTACATTAGCAAATGTTGAATTCTATATAATTTTATAGCAGTAAGAAAAAAAAAAAAGGATGATTTGACCCCCGTTCCTGTACTCCATACTTCTCATAGTTAGTTGCTTTGCTTTATGTCTTCATAGAGACAGAGAGAAAGACATCTCCAATAAAAGTTCGATTTAGACTTCCATAGTTATTTTTGAAAAACATCCTTTTTGAATTATCAAGATATAATTAATGAGTCTAACCTCAATCCCTATGGTTGGAAGGAGAGTATTATAATCAGCAATATGCAGGAAATGTGGGATTTGGTTCAGCATTGTTTTAAGGTTCTCCATATTCTCTGCCTCAGGTTATGCAGATGTATCTTCCTTTTTGTGGAATTGCCATATCTAATGCTCAACTCTTTGCTGCTTCAAGGAAAGAATATGAAAGAAGCAGGGTGAGTAGAAAGAAACATTGTTGTTGATAGTCTTCAAAATAAAACACAAAGCTTTTTGTCTTTCTAGTTTCTGTGAATCATTATGCCTTCTCAAAACACCAGATGTTCTTGCAATAAAGTACAACTATAATCCTAGTGTAATTGAAGATACGTTTTAATCAATATGTGCAAATGTAAATGGATACAAATCCTCTGTAGCTGTTTTGTGGGGAAAGTTCCAGTTTCTTTTAAAAAGAAAATTAATTTCAAATCTGTATCGAAAGGCAGTGGACATATTCTTGCTTTTTGTCATTTTGAAACAATAATACAACTTTGTGGTCTTTTACAATTTAGTTCCTTTTTCTTAAGGGTATGCCAATGAGGGAAATCTCACACTCTGTTAGGAGTGAAAGATGAAAGAGTTTTATTAAGGAATAGAACGTCTTTAGTTGGCAGTACCAGGTAAAAGTACAAAGTGCTCCACAATTCAAGTTGAGAGAAAAGTCTTAATATAGAGAGAACAAAGGGATAGTAAGGGTTGAATGACTGATTGTAGTTGAGATCAGCTTCATCTTAAAGTTCTTTGAAATGTAAAGATTGGCCACTTGGTTAAGAGTGAGTTACCTCTTAGGTGTGAGATATCACTGTAGATTTATAGTCAGCACTTCATGATTATCTCTGGTTCCAGGGAAAAATTGTTTACACATTCTTCCAAAACTGTTTTCATCCTGACTGGTTTGGTTAGTTGTGAGCACATTCTTCCTGAGAACAATCATTTAACACACTCTTCCTAATAGGTGTACAACTTTACCTTTTGTTTCCTGTGAATGCATGTTGGCCTTATCATTCTTAGTCAGATGTGAGTGCCTCCAGTTTGAAGTTTTCCATTTAAATTTCTCCTGTTATAGAGGATAAAAGAGACCCCATCTTCAAAGTTATAGATATTATGTTGTTATTAAGTGCTGTCCAGTCAGTTCCAAATCATAGTAACTCTTCAACTCATAGCAACTCTGTATAGGGTTTCCAACTCTTTAAAGTGTTGAAGAGCAAAGATGTCAGCTTGAAGACTAAGGTGCACCTGATGCAAGCCATGGTATTTTCAATAACCTCATATACACGTGAAAGTTGGACAGTGAATTAGGAAGACCACAGAATTGATGCATTTGAGTGTTGGAGGAAAACATTGAAAGTGCCATGGGCTGCCAGAAGAACAAACCAGTATGTGTTAGAAGAAGTACAGCCAGACTGCTCCTTGGAAGCCACAATGGCGAAATTTCATCTCTCATACTTCAGACATCTTATCAGAAGGGGTCAGTCACTGGAGAAGGAGATCATGTTTGGTAAAGTGGAGGATCAGGGAAACAGAGGAAGACCCCCAACAAGGTGGTTTGGCACAGTGGCAGCAGCTATTGGCTCAAACCTAGCAATGATTGTGAGATTGGCCTAGGACCAGGCAGTGTTTCATTCTGTTGTGTATAGGGTCGCTATGGGTTGGCGCCTAACTACTACTACTCCAAAGAGCAGCTGGTAAGCTTGAACTGCTGACCTTGCGGTTCAAACCGACATTTCAGTCCAGTGCACTAACCCGCATAAGGAGAGACTCTTTATTAGGTTTTAAACAGGGAGTAAAAAGAAGAAAAAGACAAACATAGATTGACTTAGCTTTTGAAACTGTGGATATTTTATCAGAAGGGGACCAATCAGTCCCTGGAGAAGGACACTGAAGGGTCAGTGAAAAAGAGGAAGATCCCCTAAGAAAATGGATTGATACAGCGGCAGCAGCAATGGGTTCAAATGTAACAATAGTGAGGAAGGCACAGGACCAGGCAGTGTTTCATTCTGTTGTGCATAGGGTCACCATGAGTCAGAACTGACTCAACAACACCTAATAATAAAATCAACAAAGCAATAACCCCCACAAAAATATTCTTTAGTCTCTGGATAGTATTATTTAGATTTATTTTTTTCTTAATTTAAGGTTTGTACTGTGGATTGAGTAGAAGTTTACAGGGCAGATCATCAGTTTTACATTCAATAAATCACACACCTTGCTTCATGATAAT